ATAATTGAGACTATGTTTTTTTTATCGTACAGACTTTAGTAATGATGATCGAGGCTAGGCCGAAATTTCAATCGCTAAATACTTGGTTCAGATTGAATCAATTTGACTGAAATTTTTAGCAAACTGCCATTACATTATCTAGTGAGAACTACCAGCTTCTAACTAACCTCCCATAATGTATCTTTAACATTTTCTACTAAAGCTAAGCAGAGCTAGGTAATTTCATTGGTTGATGCTTTGGGACAAGATAACTTTGATTCTAACGGAGAGTGATGAAAATTAATGTATAGTTTTACTACCAGGTACTTCAAAACCTTAACTGAGTTTGATTGTGAACATTTCCTGCTTATAGTCTAAGTATAGATAATCACTTTGATTGCTCAAAACTTTTAAAAAAGATATGTGCAATTAATCAATATGTGTCATCTACTTATTTTTTTGATTTCGGCAGGGACACCAGTCTCACTGATGGCTAATTTCAATTGATTTCACTGAATTATTATTATTACATACAACATAGAAGACAATGAGATTTATTTATATTGTTTTTAAATGACAGTATTGAAATCAAAAAATCAAAACAAAAATCTGTTCGAATCAACTTGAAAACTATTTGAATATTTGTGTAAGCATTAATTTTTGACTTTTTATATGCTCACATTTTCATTTGGGCATGTGTTGTTGTTATGGTTACATATTTAAGAAATCTCAGACAAGATTTCAAATATTAAAATATAGTTTTGTCACATGGTTATGGTTGCAAGTTTAAATTTTTCGAGAATATTTCTGCATTATAAATATAATATTTGTATTTACCTTTACTGTAGGCCTACTTTAATATTTAGATGTTGAATACTTATCAATTGTTTCCCATTACTTCATTGATTTCATCATCATATTTATCATACTAAAAATAAAATTAACCAGTTTTTTTAACCAAAAAAAAAGAAAAAAAAAAAAAAAGAAAGAAAGGGGGAGGTAGGCCTATGGAGCCTCTTCAATCCAAACTGGTAAAGGTATGATGTTGTTTTTATTTTATCACTGCTTCATAACTGAGAAGGTCAGATTTGAATGGATAAATATAACAGGTGAGGTATTATTTGTCCGCTTATTAATAACCCAAGCTCCATGCTGGAATGTTGGGGGGCGGAGCAGTGCTTGTTGTAAACGTAGCTGATGCGAAAATCTACATCATCATTGAAAAATAGATAACAAACTTCATCTCTCAACACATCAATAGGCCCATATCCCAACGTTTTTACTAAATAAATTTTAGCTATTGCCTATGATATTCTCGTAGCTACATTGAAAAAGAACCGAGGAAAGGTAGGTTGACCTACCCTTGATTCTTATATAGTCTCTCAGAATAATAAACTACGGGCGTCTGTATAAAAAAGGGACTGAAGAAATATTTTAATACACAAAAGGAAATAACTTACCTACCGGTACCATTAAAATGCAGTATAGGCCTAAATGACGGCCTGGTTTGAAAACATTCTTTCGTACGTAACTTGAGCCTGCCTAGGCCTGTACGCTGGACGGACTAGCATATTATTTGTGTGCTTTGTCGATCATCGAGATTCCATAAATTCAAAAATAAAATACCAAAATCATGGCCGATCCATCCAGTGATTTTAATTTGTAGATGAAAATAATAAGTTAATTTGGACATGCAGACATGGAATCCGTAACGTAATATGTTATGTTTCATCGTGGCTGCCAGTAGGCCTACAACGCCTATAAGTATAAACTGCTTCGCTTCGAGAGTCATTCCAGAAAATTGAAGAATAAAGATATATATTAAGTTTTACAAACTGGTAGAACAAAACCTGTGAGTATGATGTATGGCAATGACTTGTTTTACGACCCTTCTTTCTTTCAAGCGTAACGTGAAACGAAGCTGGATTCATTGAGTTCACCGCGCGCGACGTCAACAGAATCAATGCACAAAGATGGCGGTCGTATTTACATGTCGCGGGTCACGTGACGGCCATTCTAGTCTATTTATATATTTCTATGACTACGCCCGTCTCGTCTGACTCGAATGCACACAGCATCCCACGCTAACAATACATTCATATGTGGATATTATTTGAATTGCTATCGTCCCCTTATATCCAGTCGCATAGTAATACATCATGACATGCCTTACAAATCCGGCTCTAAGTACCGATGTTCTATAATCTAAGATACGACTTGCTGTCGTCAACGTAAGTAGGCTACATTAGGCAAAACAAAATTGTAAACAATGAGAGCGTACGACTCGTTCTATTTATAGTAACAATTAAACCTTTCAACAATGGCAAAGGCAACACTAATATCGTAATAATACCAACGATAATTACTTAACAAATGCAATAATAAAACAATGTGAAGATGTAACGATTGATTATTAACATATGGTACACGGCATTACCAGTGATCAGTGATAATGAAATAATAACAATAATTAAATCTCCCCCCCCCCCCCCCCTTATATATAACAATATGTTAGTCCCGAAATGACCTAGTTTGTGTCGAGTGGACGTTAAACCCCATTTCTCTCTCCCTCTCTCTCAGAAGCTTTTAAATCATGATGGTGGGTTGAAGTAACTCGTGATTCTGAATTTCGACAGACTTTGTCCTTATGCCCTATTGAATAATCTCACCTATTTTGAACAACAAAACTACATATTCATGGTAGCAAAGACATGCAGTGTATTTGGAACGATTTTTGTTTTGTTTGTGTTCACCTCATTCATATGTTTGTGTTTACCCATACATAAGTTGTTTTTACCTTATTTATAAGTTATGGATACTTCATCTATAAGTTATGGTTACCACATTCTTAAGTTTGTAGGCCTATATGGTTTCCCCATGTTACATCGTTTATAAAGTAATGGTTACCTCATTCATAAGTTTGTATACATGTTACCTCATTTATAAGTTTATATATCGTTACCTCGTTCATATTAAAGTTTGTTGGTGTTTGGATTTTGTTTTTGCCTCAGTAGACTATGTTTTAGATAGAGTTTTGATTGTAAGAAGACAAAGATAAGATTGTTCCCCAAATAAACTATTGTGAGGAAAACGAAAAAGGTAGGTTGCCAGACAACGAAACATACGGCCACAACAGCTAACTCGTCCGGGCAGTCAACAAGAGTTGTCGCATTTTTTTTTCCGTTTGTCGGTAATGAAACATTTATACAACTCGTGAAGTGATTTTCAGATAATCCTTAAAAAAATGTTTGGCTTCTAGTTCTACCATGCTAATGTGGTAGAGTGGTTTTATTTATTTTATGGGTATTTTAATATAGTCAGAATGCTAATGTAATATGTCACACATCGCTGCATCTGTAAACTGTCCTATTCTGTTAATTCTTCTTAAAGGTATCCAGTGAGTTCAAGTTCACTCTACTCACTGATGTTTCATTTACATTTGACCCAAAGGTTTTATGGGTTTGTCTGTCAAATCACACTGTTCACTTTTCAGATAGAATCTTGATTCAAGTCTTGAAGTGTGAGGTTGGATATTTCATCCAACCTTGGTATACGTTTTATATTTAAAGTTAATTATTAGTATATCAGATGTTTTCTTTCATCAACTGTGTGTCTGTGCTAGTATTTGACTTTGTCATCATCCAAACATTTGAAACTTGAAGTTTAAAGGTATGTGTTACTATTAAAAAAACACAACACCGTTTATATGGAAATACAATCACTGGTTTATAAGTATAGCACGACGTTTCGACAAGTATTCTCTTATCGTTATCAAGCACAAATCATCATTTGTGCTTGATAACGATAAGAGAATACTGGTCGAACCAGTGATTGTATTTCCATATAAACTGTGTTGTGTTTTTTAATGTGTTCAATCGCTAAATGCCACTCAAGGATTATATGTATTAATATTAGTTTTATATATTATACATGTATATATATTACATTGTGTAAATAGTTTGAGTTTAAAGTGGCGGCCATGTTGTTTTTCTTTAAGAAATCTGGTTAAGTTAATCTAATTTATTGATTTAACCTAAGCTTTATATATAAATACATAAATCAACTATTTAAAGTATTTCACTTTAAATATACATTTCATACATTGCCCTATATTCCATTACAGAGAATAGAGTACTTTACCTTGTCCCAGAGTCTCTGGCTGGTTCATTAAAAAAGAAACATCTTGGGTAAGAATTTATTATTATTATTATACAAACATATAATACCATGGATTTAGCTGTTCAAATTGAAAATCAATATACTTGTTCATCTCAAGACCTTAAAGTCTGTGTATGTGTCAATCTAAAGTCAATCGAATGATCAGGTACCTCGCTTGGCCTGTAAAGCATTCGCAAGATTTTTTCGAAGTAATCAAGGCTCATAACTCTGGCAGTAATTATCGGAAATCCTTGAAAATCTATAGGTTATCGGATGATAACTTTGGATTCTGGAACATCCACAAGATTTTCCAAAGTGATCAAGAGTCATAACTCTGGCAGTAATTATCAAAAATCAATAGGCTTCTTCGTCTTATAACCTTAAACACTGTGTATAAATTTAAAGTCAATCGAATATTAACTTCAGCTTTTAGAGCGTCGCCAATAATTTTCAAAGTGATCAAGGGCCATAACACTGGCAGTAATTTTCGGAAATCGTTGAAAATCAATAGACTTCTTTGCTCATGACCTTAAACACTGTGTATAAATCTAAAGTCAATCGAATATTAGAGCGTCACAAGATATATCAAAGTGATCAAGGGCCATAACCCTGGCAGTAATTATCGGAAATCGTTCAAAATCAATAGGGGTCTTTGTCTCATGACCTTTAACACTGTGTATAAATTTAAAGTCAAAACGAGATTAACTTTAGCCTCTAGAGCGTACACAAGCAATTGTGGACGCCGGACCGACGGAACGACGGACGGGGGCGACGACAATATACCACCACATTTCAATGTGGGCGTATAAAAACCAAATCGAAACATTCCGAAGAATCTATGTTATTATAATTATTATACTTACACGACTTGCCCCTTGCAATCGTACAACCCGCCCCTTTTTCTGTTGATTTACCGATTACAAATTTTGAACCGGGGTCATTATTCAATACAAAGAACTTTTTATCGCCAAATTCTAGTTTACTGACAGCTGCGGCCCCTTTTGCTATGGCATCGTCAACCTTTTTGAAAGACTGTGGATTTATCTGCAGAAGAAAAAAGCATACAATTTCATAAAGAAGCCAATGTGTCGATCGCGGGTGGACATAAGCCTCCGCTCGACGTTTTTACCTACGTTCTCGTAGCTATTGTCCACTCGTCTCAGTCTCATAGGTAATCTGGTGTAGGACCATGACATGGCATTTTGTTTTAGCCTAGAGCATGTTCTAAATATCCTACAACACATGGAAGACAAAAGAGCTCTTTATTCAGTGTTCTTATATACTGGCCACAAGTCTATGGAATACAGTTTCTGCTTATGACTGAGCGATGTTTCGACGGAGACAACTCATTTTCCCCACATCTATTGTTTAGAGTCAGGGTCTAAGTATTATAATAAGTAATACATAGTAAGTGCATATATTAAAATGAGTAAATAAATAAAAAAATAAATAAATAAATTTTTATAGTATAAATATTTATAAGTAATAGCAATGTATCACCGATGACCAAATCACCTTATTATCCAAAGGCCTAAAATTCATTCCTGTTTCTAGACCGAAGAATCATGACGATTACATCACGAATATAGAAAAGGGGTTACGTCAACTAGCACCAGGTGGCAAGGTGGATTATCTTAGGCATCAGATCTCGAATATACTTTTGAAAACCAAACCTCAAACCAATAACCTATCCAAATCCCAGCAGCTAGCACTAAAAGAATTGAAAGCAGACTCCAATATCACCATCATCCCTGCTGACAAAGGTAAAGCTACTGTGATTATGGACACCAATGACTATGTGGATACTGTGAACAACCTACTTCAAGACACCAAAACCTACCAAAGAATCAGGAAAGATTCCACAGCCACCCATGAAACCAGGCTGCGAAAATTTCTCACATCATTGAAAGACAATAAGCAGATCACACCAGCACTTTACTATAATCTGAATCCCTCTCACCCCAGACCACCATATGCACGAGCCACTATCAAGATTCACAAGAACCCGGTTAAGGCTCGCTTATTGGTTTGTTCCCGAGATTCAGTATATTACAATACAGCAAAATTCTTAACCGTCTTTTAGTCCTTCATTGCCGACTCCAGCGACTTTTGCCATAAACTGGCATCCGTCCCATCAACCGGCACCATTCTTTCCTATGATGTAGTAGACCTGTTCACTAATATCCCCACAGCTCAGACACTCCAAATACTTAAAAAGAAAATCAATGAATTAGAGACCCCACTGGACACCAACCTAACCACTGATAATATCATTCAACTTTTACGTCTCTGTATAACTGCCACTTACTTTAAATGGGGTGATGAATATTATCAACAAACACATGGCCTGCCCATGGGTAACCCACTTTCGCCCCTACTGTCCGAAGTATTCATGACCAGGTTCGAAACTGAGGCATTATAGACTTCCCCCATCAAACCCCTTTCTTGGTATCGTAAAGTCGATGATGTATTTGTGGTCCTCAATCAAAACGACAACCCAGATACGCTACTCCAACATCTGAACAGTCGACAAACGAGGATAAAATTCACAATGGAAACAGAAACGGATGACAGTCTCCCATTTCTTGATGTATTAGTGACTAAATCTGACAACAATATTTCCACTGCTGTTTATAGGAAACCAACTCACACTGATCAATAGATTCACTATAATTCAAATCATTCACATCAAATAAAGAAATCCATCATCACCACTCTAACCAGACGCGCCACCAAGATATGTGATGAAGAAAGTTTACCCGAGGAATTAGAGCATTTAAGGAACGTCTTCATAAATTTTAACAATTACCCCACCCAACTAGTCAATCTTGTGGGACCAAACAAGAACCCTTACAGTACATCATCAACAGAAGAAAACCCGAAAACTTCTTGAGGCCATCAATATAAAACGCATCAAGCCCAAGCTAAACCGTGATGTCGGACTATTTATACCAAGGGCTTATGACCAACTTATAGATTCATTCTAATACTTTATTTCTATTTCAGCGCTCATCAGGTTTTCACAGTCTAATTACACATCATACATATCTTTGACTTTCAGCTCTTACCCAACTTCACAGTCTGAGGATATATTTCCCATTTATTGGGTTCAGTTTATTAGAGGAATATATTTACTGTGTCCCTCGTCCAGATTTAAGTCTAATAATACCTTCTTCTCTCATAATTTTCTAGCTTTCAGAATTAACACAATCCAGTGCTTATCCAGTTTCACAGTCTAGTTATAAACTTTACATATCTTGGTTGCAGTTTTACAGTCAAAATACAGTTCACAATTATTGACCTTTAATACATAGAAATAATATATTTACGGTTTCTTTCTTCCAGGTTTATACTCCAATAATAGGTTTTATACTCTAGGACTTCCAGTTTATGGGTTCCCATAATTTTGTCTCTTTTTCAGTGCTTATCCAGTTTTCACATTCTAATTATACATTCTACATATCTTCGTTTTCAGTACTTAACCAGTTTTTTTATAGCCTGGAGATATGTTTCACTATCCTTTATTTTCAGTATATTGAATCAATATAATTACGGCTTCCCCCGTCCATTTTTACAGTCTAATAACAAACTTTAAATATCTTCCATGATTTTCTGCTCATTGAATTAATATACAGTATTTTATATTTTTATAATTTTATTTTTAATTTTTAATTTTTTAATTTATTATTATTTCCTTTACACCTGCATCAGACATCACTCTTGTCCACTTATACATACACACTTCTCTTTATATTATTGTTTATCTATAGCTCAGGTTAATTGGTTTTCTATTAACAGTGTTAATTCACTGATCTTTATAAATATAGCATTCACCGCCTTTTAATCCCTGTAAGAGATTTCTGTTGTGTAGGTTTAGTTCCTAATGGCTCCTTAATCAAAGGTGTTAAGCTGCTTTAATTGCATTTGATTATTATCTTTGTTGCATATTCCGTATATATATATGTGCCCACAATTCACATATTTGTATCATATGCTTGATAAAGACGAGAGTATCCTCTTCGAAACGTCGCTTAGTATCAAACTCAGTAATTGTATATCCATAAAATTGTACCTTGTGTTAGATGATTTGGACTTAGATAAGATAGTAAGTAATCATAATACCGACTGTAACTTATGTAGGCTACTATGGATAATTCTTGTGTAAACGAAATTATTAGTGTCTGTAACTTATGTACTATGGATAATCCTTGTTAAAATGAAGTTATTAGTGTCTGTAACTTATGTACTATAGATAACCCTTGTTTAAACGAAGGTATTAGTGACTGTAACTTGTTTACTATGGATAATTCTTGTTTAAACGAAGGTATTAGTGAGCTAGAAATAGTCAGAGATTTAAGTAAAATGAAAAATACCAAAAGTACTGGTGACTACTGCCTCTTATAACAAAATTGTTTAATTCAATATTTGTCACGGGTAAATTTCCTGAATCTTGGTCATCTAGCATCATAGTTCCACTACATAAAAAGGGGGACCCCACACTACCAAGTAATTATAGGGGTATGTCACTCCCTGGTGCCATAAGTAAACTATTTGCATCAATTTTACATAACAGACTGGTAAAATGCTGCGACGAGCAGCAGCTTATCGTGGAGACTGGAGGAACAAGCTGGATTCAGGAAAGGATATTCAACTATTGACAATGTTTTTGTATTAAACTGCCTTGTGCACAAAAATATGAGTAACTGTAAAGGAGGTCGCCTATATGTTGATTTTGTCATTTCAGACGCGCCTTCGACGGAATCAATATACTGTTAGAGCATAATTTGCATGGGTTTATATGGTTACAATGTTATTTACAGTATTTACAGTAATGCCAAGAGTAAAGCCAAGTGTAATGGCCATGCAACCGGGGAATTCTTAATATGTCAATTCGAGGTCAAACAAGGCTGCATCCTGCGTCTTTTTTTTGTTTGGATTGTTCATAAATGAGCTTGCTTTAAAACTAAAATCAGAATGTAGAAATGGTATCTTTGTAGATCAGTCGATTGAAGATATATTTTCACTATTATTTGCTGATGTCATTAGTTGACAGTATTGGCAACCTACAAGACAGATTAAATGTTTTAATGTTTTGGACAATTATTGTAAGCAATGGAATGTGTCTGTAAATTTAGAGAAGTCAAATATTGTTGTATTCAAGTGTTGGGTTTTTTTATGGGGTCAGAAATTGAAGCTGTGTCTCACTATAAATATTTAGGAATCAATTTCTCCAGCAGATTAAAATGGAATTTATGTTGGACAAATCTCGCCTAACAAGCTCTAAAAGCAATTAATGTAATAAAGAAATGTGGGATTAGAAACTGTAATGCAGGTTTTAAATTGTTTGATTCCATGGTAGCACCTATTATTTATTATGGATCAGAACTATGGGGACTTGAAGTAAGACCACAGGTTGAGTTTGTACAAAATAAATTTTGCAAATATGATTAGAGGCGAATGTGGTAGATATGATTTGTATGTAAACTATATGTGCAGGCCTATCAAATATTTTCTTAAACTGCAACTCAAGGATGATAATAGATTACCGAAATTTGGCTATACAATGTTGTTTAAACAAGACTTATCGGGTAGAAATAATTGGTGAACTTCTGTTAAGAATGATTTATATCAGTATGGTTTGGGGGATGTGTGGATTGCTTAAGGGGTAGGTAGTATATTACATTTCATGCTTATCTTCAAACAACGTCTCCGTGATGCCAGTCTAGTCTTGGCAATCAAACATCAACCAATCAACTAAATGTGCATTCTATTCTATCATAAAGTCAGATTTTGAATGTGAGAATTACGTAAAAATTCATCTACCCCAGTCACTACGATTTTTTTTTAGCTAATTTTAGAATGTTCAAGGCATAAACTTAACATTGAATTAGGCCGTAGAAATGATATCCCTGTTTCTAGACGTATGTGTCAAATTTGTAATTTGAAATGTGTTGAAAACGAATACCATTTCATTCTTATCTGTCCAATCCTGCAAGATATTAGAATAAACTTCCTGCTGAAATATTGCCACTCATCACCAAACGAAATGAAATTGAAGTCGTTATTCCAATGTAAAAAAGGGAAGAATTACTATCAATATAACCAACATAAATATAAAATTGTATATTTTTTCTGTAATTTATGCTGTCTGATTTCTCCATTTATTTTGATTAATTATGTATTGGGTTTTTTTTTCTTTTATATTGTATACATTTTGTACCTTTGGCTTTTGGCCACAAAGTACTTGAATAAAGATATATTATTATTATTATTATTATAAAATGGTTGACAGGGAGAGTTCCCCGGGATTTTCCAGGGGAGGTCCTGACACGGAAGAGCGTCAAGTTCTTCGGATTGGATGAAATAGCGAGGTCCCATGTGCACGTTGCAAGTTGCAATTTGATGAAGAGTAGGCAGAAACGCCGCTGTCCGGGCAAAAGTTTCCCACATAGAATACAACATGGCGTATGTCCGTCATCTTTACCCCGGTTGTTACAGAATAGCAGGACGTTAAACCCCATTTCATTTCATTTAGAAAGAAAATGGTCTTCAACTGATATTGGATACATAGTGATTAAAGATTCTTTAGCCTACCTTTTTCTTCATAAATGCATCGGTTCCAGCCCATAATTTACCATCAAGGCCATAAATGCCTCCATGTTGGGCACTATGGTGTGTAACACCCTCTATTTTTCTAGTTAATAATTGTTGAGACCAGGCATCCCATCCGCTCATCCTTGAAAATGACTAGGAAAATAATAGTATTAGAAACAAACGGTAACCAATCTAAAAACACTGAGCCTAGAGATGATAAAGATTCGTGATGTCATTATAATTGTTATCAATGACGTCATGCTTTATCATCTAAAGCCGTTTGTATGTTGGCTGTTAGCGGCCGTTCTATATTAATAATAATAATAATAATAATAATAATGACTTTATTTAAGAAGGGTTGAAGATTAGGCTATGACAGCCTTTCTAACATCCTGCCCTTCGTAGAATTTATAATACAAAAGATATAGCTAATAAATTAAACAACACATCACAATAATTTACAACAGAGAAAAAAAAAATAAATATACAAATCAATTAAAAGATTAATTTAAGTGTGTACATGTATATGCGGGTCATATAACAAAACGTTTGAATACATATAGATATAACATGTAATAACAAATATACAATATGTACATGCTTATAATATGGAGAACACAAGAGATAAGCTTATAGGGTTTTAAGATAAGGTATTTGAAGTAGATTTAAGGTAAAAAAAAGAAGTTTTTTCCTGAAAAGATTCAGGTTATTTAAAGTTTTTAAAGAGGCTGACAACGAATTCCAGAGTTTGGACCCTTTAAAGCGTATAATGCTTTTAACTATATTAATATTTGACTTGAGAGTAGTAAGTTTATTGGTGAGATGATTGTAAGGAGTTCGACTAGTCGGGTCAATTCTGTCGAATTGTCGCCTTCGACTTATTCACAACACGACAAAATACAATTATTTCGCTTTGTCGTGCCGCGACTTGTCGCCTTCACAACCCGACAAGTCGACAAAATACAATTATTTCGCTTTGTAGTGCCGCGACTCGTCGCCTCGGAAGTCAATCAGTGCCCATGAGCAAGGATTCTTCGGTTAAGTCCTTAGTATGGAAGCCTACTATCGACGAGGCGAGGGAACAATTATTCAGCATTTGTTTTTGTTTGTCACAACTGTAAATAACACAAATAGGATTAATGAAAAGATCGTTTGGTTAAATTTGCAGCTAACGACCTATATCATAGGCCCTACTTGTTTTAAAATTAGGAATCTATATTTCAGAAGAAAGTCAGTTTTATATGTTGATATGTATTCTAATGTATGCTTTCAATATATCTTTCATAACTGAGAATACACTATGTTAGCTTTGCTATTATGGAAATATTTAAAGTTTAAATCCGCTTTTCTTAGGATGTTTCTAGATTTTTCTAACCAGTGGCTGCCAGGCAGGATACGCCCACATTTTCGAGAGATGGATAGAGAACAAGCTAAAACGAAAGTGATTTTTCCTACAATCAAAGGCCATAATTCAGGAAATTACAATTCGATATGCGCAAATATCGAAAGGAACCGAGATCTTTGGGTTATAAACTTACATTTCAAATTTCAAGAAAATCGGATAAAAATTGTGACCTTTAGGGGGTCCACAACCTTGATATACCATATTTTTACGCTATTTGAGAATGAGGGGCGGTCATTTTGTCTGTCAGTTTTGGGCCGATTTTCACGAAATTCGAACTCAGTCGACCTTAGGATGTAACGGTGATATAATAATACGGTTTTTTTTTAAATCGGATAAAAATTATGACCTCTCTAGGGTCCAGAAGCTAAAAACACGATTTTTCGAACAATCAAGGGCCATAATTCAGGAAGTTACTGTCCGATATGCGCGAATATCGACAGGAACCGAGATCTTCGGGTTATAAACTTACATTTCAAGTTTCAACAAAATCGGATAAAAATTGTGACCTATATAGGGTCCACAAGCTTGATATACCATATTTTTACGCTATTTGAGAACGAAGGGCGGCCATTTTGTCTGTCAGTTTTGGGCCGATTTTCACGAAATTCGAACTCAGCTGTCCTTAGGGTGCAACGGTGATATAATAATACTATTTTTTAAATCGGATAAAAATTAAGACCTCTATAGGGTCCACAAGTTAAAAACGAGATTTTTCGAACAATCAGGGCCATAATTCGTGAAGTTACGGTCCGATATGCGCGAATAGCGACAGGAACCGAGATCTTCGGGTTATAAACTTACATTTCAAGTTTAAACAAAATCGGATAAAAATTGTGACCTATATAGGGTCCACAAGCTTGATATACCATATTTTTACGCTATTTGAGAACGAAGGGCGGCCATTTTGTCTGTCAGTTTTGGGCCGATTTTCACGAAATTCGAACTCAGTCGTCCTTAGAGTGTAACGGTGATATAATAATACGTTTTTTGAAATCGGATAAAAATTATGACCTCTATAGGGTCCACAAGCTAAAAACGCGATTTTTCGTACAATCAGGGGCCATAATTCAGGAAGTTACGTTCCGATATGCACGAATATCGAAAGGAACGGAGATATTTGGGTTTTAAGCATACATTTCAAGTTTAAACCAAATCGAATAAAAATTGTGACCTCTACAGTGTTCACAAGCTAAAAACGTGATTTTTCGTACAACCAGGGGCCATAATCCATGAAGTTACAGTCTGATACATGCCAATATCGAAAGGAACCGAGATCTTAGGGTGATAAACCTATATTTCAAGTTTTAAGTCCGGATGTCCGGACGGACGGGGGCGACGACAATATATGTCCACATGAAAATGTGGGCGTATAAAAATCGTCTAATGCTGTTCGTTTTAGTCTTCGTATCCTGCAGACTGCGATGATGTTTTAATTAACTGATCCAGGCCATAATCAACTTTCGATGGCATCGGAATTCTATGATATTAAATAGATTAGAACGGTTCAGCCATTTTTTGATTCAATCTAAAAAATGGAGGAGAAAGACTGAGCTTCCAACAAACAAAGAGATAGAGAGAGAGAGAGAGGGAGAGAGAGAAAGATGGGGTTTAACGTCCACTCGACACAGATTAGGTCACTTCGGGACTAACATATGGTTTAATTCCCTTGCGCATAGGGGGCTTGAGCAGTGGGAGGAAACTGGAAGACCCGGAGAAAACCCACGAGGTTGGACAGGCAACCCTACTCATTGTCACGTAGAACCGGGAATTCGATCCAACAAACAGTACAATGGTTAAAATTATTGCACACGTCTTGTCAAACCTTCAAAGGCTAATATCTTTGCTCGCAATAGAGTAATTTGAATGAAATTTTCAAATTATTCATTTTCGTAGGAGCAGAACAGAAGGACGTTAAACCCCATTTCATTTCATTTCTATTTTCGAACTATTGTAGCTCTTTATCTAAATCTTACATAATGTATCTTTAATTGTTAGTTCAGCAACACTAAGCACTCTTTCAATTTGATAGTACATGTCATATCAAACAATGAAATGACTATTACCTGACAAATTGGCCATTTTAGGAAATTTGATCGCCTTTTTGAATTTCCGCCATCTTGGATTTCGGACACTCATGTTAGAGATTATTTATATGATCAATGTTTCTGATATCTATTAAATCACTTTAGTTGACCAAATAGATAATGTCTGAACATTATTTGTTAGTAAACTTATGAACAGACACGAAAAAAATCGAAAATGTTGCTTTTTTCAGATTTATCTTTTATTTTAAAACTGATAGTATTGATTAAACAACATATATCATATACCAGCAGATGCAGAATTATATTATAAACATGTTGAGCTATATTACATATCCATAGACGAAACTGTGGAGGAGTTATGAAGGCTTCCCCGACTCGCACTATTTCAAATAAAAAAATGGCGGCCATTTTTAAAGATAATGAATATCTGCCTGTCACATGGACTAGTAAGGGCAAGTTTCTTTTACGGAATACGCTTAAGCTTTTTCTTGGCCACATCCCAATTTCAAATATCCCTGTCTTTTGCCAAAACCTAGGAGTCACAATATCACAGTATCGCTGGTTCACAAACCAGAAGGTCTGTGCACAGCATGGCTTCAACAATGTCCGTGGCGTGCACTTAATGGAACCTTTGTCGGTTGGAATTTCAAATAAGAGGAGGCCATGGAACCGCTGTCTGGACAAAATTTCCCTCATAGCACATTGTATTGGTACAGAAAAGTAGCTTGCCTTATAAACTATGCCGGAGTTTAAAATAATCGTGGTCTGTACCTAAGAAGTATATTTTTGCCCTTATGCTTGCATTTCCAGCGTGGTATCACCTTGTCAGTGGTGCAGGGATGGAAGAGAACAGTGTCTAGTCTTTCTGATGGTACAGAAAACCGTTTGAAATAAGAGTAGGCCGTATCACCTCATAGTAGGCCTACACTGCATAATTATGTGGGGGGGGGGGCTGAATGGTTAGCACGTGCGCGCTGTACCATAATGTCTGTCATTGAGTCAACTGGTGTGGTTTCGAATCCCCGGTTGTACGTGGCAAGGAGTAGGGTCGCCTGTCCAACCCCGTGGGTTTTCTGGGGGTCCTCCGGTTTCCTCCCACTGCTAAAGACCCCTACACGCAAGCGAATTATTGAAATAAAATTAAACCATATGTTAGTCCCGAAATGACCTAGTTTGTGTCGAGTGGACGTTAAACCCCATTTCTCTCTCTCTCTATAATTATGTGATTTGAGTTCCCAGTCCTTCACGTTTAAGGGGAGCTTTTGCTCCTGCTCCTCTCGACGCACGTCGGCTTTCCTTCGAAGGAGTCATTAAAGACTCCTGCAAATTAGCTAAATCGCTCTCCTAAATATTGAGATTAATAAACTACTTTCACTTTTTGTTTACCTTTAAACTGCATATATTTAAGGTATCAGGAGCTTTTTATGGCTCCAGCACAATATTATAAACGTGAAGGACTGGAACAGTTCCAATATTATTAAGTTGATTATTTCAGATTTTTATGGGTTTGGGCAAATTGTACTGTTGTTGGTAATGAGTGAACATTCTTTTCCTGTTCCCTTGCGCTTTCGCACTCTCTCTACCTCGCCTTGACGTCTCGTCGAGATTATGAAATGGCCACGCTTAACCGAAGAATGCTTGCTCGTGCGCACTGATTGACTTCCGAGGCGACAAGTCGCGGCACGACAAAGCGATATGGTCTCAGACTAGCAATTATTTGCCCATTGTCTTCAATGTTAAATG